ACTCTTCGCAGGGAAAAAGGGAGCAAAATAAATAAGAAAGGAGCTCAAGATGCTGTCCTATCAGCGGCAGCAACAAGCCAATCAAAATGCAATTTCCACTCGTGCACAGGACATAATTTAACGACACACATGTGGAGCTGTAACAGGGTTTTCACCCGCTTTTCCCCACTTTTCCACGATGATTTCCTTCGCCATTTCCATCAAGGTACAAATAATAAATATGCAAACAAGTTGATTCAGCGGGCTCAGCTGTGACTATGAATTTGTCATTTTGTTGGCGCATCCGCAAGAATGATGAAAATATTTATACAAATAATGGTTGGGCGGCACTCGTTGCGTATACGCAATGTTGATGTTGATGGGGTCACAGCACAGTTATAAAGATAAAGATAAAGAGCCAGTGACTTCATCAAAACAGAATCAGCTGCAAGGCTGTGCGATAAGCAAACAATTGCCCAAGGATACGAAAAACTCATCCGTAAACTGGCTTTTCTTGTTGCCTTACAAATTAAATTCCTCAAGGAAAAACCAAAAAAATCCCCTCCATCAACGTCAAATGGTTGAAAATTCCGCCTTTCCTCTCTTTTGTGTACCCCTAAAATTTGATGGGCTCACACGTGTGTAAAATGTTTTTCCTCCTGCTGGTATTTTCGAGCATCCCCCGAGTGTTTCCCAAGTTAAAGTGTTGCCCCATTCGCAGTTAATTATCCTGACGTCAGAGCGTCCACTTGAGTCCGCCGGAAATCAACAAACATTTCCGCTCAGTTTTTGGGGATTGCAGCCTAAAAGGGCAACATTAGCATAATAAATTTGCCCAGCCTGGTTTATCGAAGGCGAGTGAATAACTTCATCGCTTAGCCGCATTAATAACGCGGCTTTAATAAGGACTTGGCCAAGGATTCCACCATCGAACTGGTGCCGACTACGTGACCAGATAACTAAGCCTTATCGTTGGGGGAAAAGTAGGGGAAATGTATAAGGAACGTTATTCTTCATTTAATACTACATAGAGAAAAAACGGGAACATAGGATCCTGCTTTATCACCGTTTTTGTTTTTTAAAAGGACTTGAAAAACTAGAGATACGTGAATTTTAAATACGACGTTTTAAATCAAAAGATTATAATTCACTTTTTGAAATATGAATAAAATGCACTCTTTGAAATATCTAAAAATACTTTTGAAGAATTGACAAGCCACATGGATTTAAAAAAAAAAGGTAATTACTTGGTTTTAATGCTAGTTTAGGCTGATTTTTTGTCTCTGTGTAGGTATTTTGTTGAGTAACCAGGAATAGTTCTCCCACTCGCCATATCTACAGCCCATGGTAACGGCCTTTAGGTAATTGTGTGGCCATAAATCTCTCCTTTGGCTTACTGCACTGACTCCGGGGCAATTTAACGCCTGTCCGGGTGTTGCTGCCAAATACCATTCCATTAAAGAGACACCGGAGTCAGGATGGGAATGGATGTGCAGGTGCGGATTGAGTGGAAAATCGATCCATGGCAATTAAGGTCGACGGTGTAAAAGAAAAAGCGGTGAAACTGCCTTCAACTTTTTCAATTAGCCAGGTGACCGAAGTTATCGCTCGGAAGAAATCAAAATCAAAATTACGACCACGCAAACATCAAACCCCGAAAGGAAGTAAAAGGAAACACAAAAAAAAAACTTTTGGTTGGGGGAACATAAACTCAAGGAACCCTTTCCGAAATAAAAGGGAAGCCGTCAATAATCCCGATTAGAGCATGTGTATATGAAATATTTATGCTGTGGCCTGCAAATGGAATTCCTCTATGAAAAGGTCGCCTTAGAAGCATGAATAATGGATGGAAAACACAAAGGACCCGTCTTTAATTCGCTTTAAAGTCATCTGGCCATCTTTCAGTTCATTTTATGGCAGGCAGGTCGGGCAATCATAATGAAATCCCATTTTATTGCCACAAAGTATGCAACACATTTTTCGGCCTGTAATGATTTTTATCCGAGCCACCTCCTTACTGGCCTTAATTTATTGTTTTAATTTTTAGTCGCCCGGCCACAAAATGGCGTCCTGAGCCCAAAAGAACCGGTGAAACTTTCGGGGAAAGTGTTAAGAACTCGTGCAAATTCCATTAGGCCTAAAATGTTTCGGGCCACGAAGAAAGGGGGATGCGATTCCAGCCAAAGGCTCTGTCAAGTGCGATAAATCAGAAAAGGTAGGGGCAAAAAAGCATCTATAAGACAAAGCAGCGGCGACAGAGTGAGAGAAATTTTATAATTAAAAGCAACGCGTGGCTGGAATTATGCCGGGCTATAAGCTATAAAAATGCAAATTTCTTCCAGGACAACACAAGCCCAGACCCAAAAGAAACACCAACTAATCAATGTTAATTGGATTGGCGTGGGAAATGTTTGCAAGTTACTCGCCGCCGCTTTTCTTGGCTTCGCAAAAATGTAGGAATCTATAAATATGCAGCGGCAATTACGCATCTGAAACAGATTGCACCGCTCCCAAAGATAAGCGACCTTGAGCCAGCTGCCAACAGAGTGACAAGCTCATTAAGCGAGAGCGGCCAGAAAGAGACGAAAGAACGAATGAAGCACTGAAAACAATTGTATATTGAATAGCTACACAAAAATATTTTTAAAAATTTTAATAATTATAATATTTAACTTGTTTTATCATCAGATGAATATTAATGATCTTTTATGTTTAAATTCTTTTTGGATTACAAATCTTGTGGAGTAAGTTCTTTTGACTAGGAAGTATTACAAAAAAACCTTTATATAAAAATGTGGTATTATTCAACCTGCAAGATAAATATTCTATGATCTTTTGGAGTTTAAATAGTGGGATAAAAAGTACTTTTAATTTTCTAGTAAAAAAATCTGTAAAATTAAATTTCTCTAATAAATCTCAAAAATATCTTTAATTATTATTATTTCCCGTGTGCCAATTAACACATGACTGTTGCGTAGTGAGAAACTGTTATCACAGAGTTAATAAATCAAGCCGAGCCCCAGAGAAAACCAAAACAACATCCATATAAAGAGTGAGACCAGAAAGGTAAACAAAGTTCAAAGAGATTCTTTAGTTGGCAGTTTGTCAGAGGTTCTCTCACTCTCTTTGCTTGTGTAATATTGTTTTTATTCAATTAGGCAAACAGCAATTACAAAAGCAGCAACAACAAATAGGTAACCTACAGGCAAACCAATATATTTGTTGTCATTTAAATGCACACGAGTGGAAAACGGATAGCAAATAAGTGCAGAAAATAGTCGAATACTTGACACACTAATCCTCAACATCAAAGTGAAAAGGATCAAAGAAAACGTCAAGTCTGCATGAAATGTAATATTAATTTCCCTTAAAAGGAAGAAGATAGCTTAATTTTTATTGAAAGTATCCCATTTTAAAATATCGTTCAATATGTCTTTCGAATTTTCATTTATTCAGATGATTAATTTTCATGATCATCATTAAATATATTTTGCTCTGAATAAATTTCTGTGAAGCGCACACGCATTGCGTAGTTACACAATCGATTTGTAAAAAGTTTAATCAAGAATTGAACAATTGAATCAATTTGATTGACGCAGTTAAAAGAACAATAAACCCACGAGAGAAATGTATAAAAATGAGGGACAAGAGGGGGAGGCTAATCACATGTTGTGTGAATTAAAAGCAAATTGTCAGCATTCATTTGCACCGCATCAGTGCACTCGTCATCATGTGCGGGTAAGGGGTACACAGAAAAAAATTATTTGATTTTTTAAATGAATAAAAAGCCTAACCTGTTTGTTAAATGTCATGATTTTCTTATAAACTTCTTTAAACTCTTGTTAGATATTTCGAAATATATAGATATATTTATTTAATTCCATGGAAAACTATTTTTCCTGTCCAGAAAAAATGCTCTTTTGTCGTGAACTAAATTTCATTTGGACAAAAAAATTGTCTGATGATTCCGATGATGCTAAATCCCACAATCAACCGGCTTTACAAATTTATTTGAAAACAGACACGAGGCTTTAAACACACAACAAGGTGCACAATTAAAAATGAATTTGTATTTTTGGTAAAACAACTAAACGCGCCCCTACCAAAAAGAGTGTATTTACAGAACCAGTCTAACTTTTTTTGTTGGTTTTTTTGAAAGGCAGGCAAGTGTGAAACTGGGAAAAATAAAATAAAAAGAAGAGAAACGGAACAATGCACAAATATTTGCTCATACACGCTTAAATTAAGTAAATACAAAATCGTGCGGGGTACTTACCAGTCGAGCTGAAAAGGGGGGTTTGTATGAGGGGTACCTGGGGGTTTACGAGGGCAGCGGTGCTTCTTCATTAGAGACATTGTTAATTTATTATTCATTGTTGACCCGCACGTGGACTCACGCAACGTTCGTAAAAGTAAAATGTATTATATGGAAAACATGAAAATAAAAACGCAAACGGATAAGGCACGAAACGGAGTGTTTTGCTCGACAGACGGAGAAAAATCGAATGGAATATGAATATGGAAATTAAGGGAAAAAATCGATTGCGGGATGCTAATTTGGCACTGTTATCAAATGAAAAATCTGGGCCAAAGCCCCAGCCATTCGGTGACAATTCAATAAATGGCGGATTAGAAAACCAAATCGATGCGAAAAAGAGAGGAAAAGCTTACATAAAGCGCCAACTGAGGCGCAGAATTCTTTATGCAAATGTCGAGCACACGCACCACCCACTCCCAAATTGCCCCCCGTACAAGGTTGTTCAAATATTTCGAGAGGGGAAATTAAATTCGGTCGATTAAAAATGGCAGGAATAAAGAGAATTTCACTTCCCGCTTGACGGGCTTAATTAAAAGATAAAAAACGAAATTTCCACGCAAAATGTAATGAGCAAATATCCGGCATTGTTCCGGTTCAATGCAATAATCCCGCCCCAAATTGGCTCAATTCGGTCTCTTTGAGACCCGTTCTACGATTAGTTATGTACTATTTATATAGGAAATATGAAATCTGATTGACTCACCTTATGACGTAGTTAACGCAAACGACGCTCTGTGGCTTTAGTTTATCGTAGACAATCGTGGCCTGGCTAAGAATCCAGCAATAGCCGCCATATTTTCCCAGAAATCGGTAGCGACAGGTCTCACCCTGGCCCTTGCTCAGTACTAGAAAGATACAAAGATACGTAAATCAAGGAATTAGTCAGGAAAAATAATTGTAATAAATTACAGAAAAGCCCCCAGTAAATGTGGTTCAAGTTCTGGTTTAAGTTTGTTTCATGTGCTCTTGGCAGAGAAATCATATTACAATCGCATAATAACCGCCACCACAAAAACAATAAACAAAATCTTCTGCGGTCTAACCGCTTCGCCCATTAAATGTGTCATAATCGAGCCACGAAGCTCTTGAACTGGATACAACCCGAATCAGTTACATTTTGGCAGATTGCTGGTACTCCGGAGATCTTTTTGCCTAAATAGATAGCCAGGAAGTATTGCCATGGTTACCAGTAAGGGTGGTAGTTGTTCTACACGGAAACAAATTTTTGTTTAAGTATTAGAATTTTAAAATACAGTTAAATGAAGCTATGCTACATTTTGTTATTAATTTTGGGGTTCGAAATAATTTTGGTTTTAAATTGAATAAAGTTTTTACGTTACAACATTGCTTTCATTTCATTTGAAAGCAAAATAACTCTTTTGCAAAAATTAAAATCTCACAATTTTTAAATGGATTATTTTCAACTAAAATTACACCCATATTTTAGCAGAAAAATAATAATACTATAATCAAGAAATGTATACCAAATGGAGACGTATTTCCCACCAGTGTTTTTTCTGCTGGTTGGCAAATTGTCAAGTCTCAAATTACGGCGCCAAAAGCGCTGGGGCATAAAAATTAAATAATAGCAACTCGCTGCGTGGAAAACGTAGGGCGAAATAAGTGGATTGGGCAGGAGGGTCTTAGGCATTTGATTGAGCCTTTGCCTGTGCGAAGAAAAGAGACAGCTGGGCCAAAAAACGTTGCCAAGTAATTTGGCTCAACGAGGACGTCCCATAAACTCGATTTTAATTAAAAGCGACTCCCAAACCTGGAAAAACAGGAATAAAATAAATATAAAAGAACCGACCACACACACACGCGTAGGTAAAGCTTTTATCTGTGTTTTTGTGACAGCGTCTTGGCCCGAAATCATTTCAATCAAATTTTTATGTACGCCACTGAATGCGACAAAAACATTAAATAAATGATGAAAATTCATGGGAATTTTGGGAAAAGCAATTGAAATTCATGGATGCTTTCAGTCTAGGTCCAGCTTTTAGGATTAGCTGGAGTGTGTAGGTCACAGGTGCTCGAAACAGGGTCATATCCTGTTTAAGTCGCAGCAATAAAAATAAATTACCATATAACAAACTTTGGCAAGCCGAAGTTTATATACCCTTGCAGCTCTTACAGCAATAAAAGGTGTAACTTTTAAATCGGCTTAAATTTGATAAAGATATGAGCTCAGTAAGCTAAATTTTGGATCACCTTTTTACAAGTCATCAGAAACTCGACACGATTGGTGGAGCTGATCAAGGATAAATATACTTTCTAGGGTCGAAAATTGTTTACTGAAAGTATAATACCCTCTGCAAGGGTGTAAAAACAACAAAAGTTAAATGAATTAATAAAGTTTGTAAGTTCCGATCGACTTTCGTTACAATTAAGCCACAAATTGTAATTACAGTGGGTTGTATATATGTAGGGATACCGAATAAATATGACCATACTTATCAATACTTTCTAAAATTATGGAAACAAAATCAAGACTAATTTCTTAATGAAACCCACTGTAGCCCAGGCTAAACCTCAAACAAAACGTCCTTCGTCTCACTCTGATTCGTTCTTCCATTTATTCATTCAGTTAATTCGAAATCAGCAGCAGAAAATTAGTTTTTCCTTTTCTTCGCAGAACTGGCTTAGTCGTCGTGGGAAATCGGGTTGGGTAATTATGCGGGGTCATTAATAAGACAAGATCTAGGAAGGCCGAGACATTGCCGCCTTGAAGCTCTCAAATTCTGCTGACAGCTCAGTGAGATTGATGCGAGCAGGACATATGAGGAAGCTAGTCAAGTTAAATCCATGGGTTGAGGAAAACGAAAATGCCCCTAGGAAATATGCTACAGAGAAGTGACAATCACATCCTGTTCCTTTAGAGGTGCTAAGAAGAAAATACATTTTTTAATGAACTCAAAATGAAGCTTTCTCACTATTCCTAATAAATATTTATTTTATTTTATATTTATGTAAAGAGATATTTTACTGGAATTCTTAAAATAGTATAGAAATAATTAAATAGAGAAAAAGATTACTTTATTTAATACTTTATAAGATAGTAAAAGGCTTCGAAAATCTTTCAACATTTAGTGATAATAAATTTCTTTAATGCTAAACATTTTTGTTGAGTAGCTATAGTATTAGGAATTTGAATACTTGCTAGTTTTAGTCCTTTAATAAACCTAAATCTAACCAGAAAATAGCTAAGACAAACAACACCGCCCCAGAGCTCAGACGATTGCCATTTGGCAGTGTTTATGTGGAATTAGTAAAGTGAGCAGACAGAAAAGCAGCAGCAGCAGCAGTAACAGCAGGAAAAGCAACTGCAGTTGCGGCAGCTGCAGCGGTGAACTTGATTTGCCCTCAGCCAAGGACTTTTCCCGGACTTTTGCCGGCATTTTGAGCTTGAGCTTGAGACGGAAAATATTAAAATATCTACGCGCGGCAGCAAAGATCATTTATCAGCAATTTTTTAGCAGCATTCCTTGGCTGCCATTTGGAGCCATTGCTGCTTCCACAATTTATGAACACGAATGCAATCCGCTTTTCGCATGGCAATGGCCATGGCCATGGCAGTGGAATTGCCAGGATATGGGTAAGGCCAACAGGAAGGAGGAAGGGAGGGAGGTAAGGAAGGAAACTGGCCATTTGTACAAATAATCAAACAGAGAAGTTGGTAAAAGGGATAAAACCAGACTCTATTCGAGTCGAATGCAAGACAAACATCAAAACCGCATTCAAGGTTATGTATCAAGCGGGATGAGCACGGAATAACCAGGATGCTGGATGCTGGTGATTCGAAGGATGCAGGATGCACAGGATGTAGGATGCGCACACACAATGCATGCTAGGACACGCTCGAGTACACGGGTAAATCCTGGCAGCAACACAACAGTAAATCATCATCAACGCAGCACACGAACTGAGAGTTGCGAGAGGAACAGGTGCAGCAGGTCCTTAATAAGGTGAATCCTTCGGCTGGTCAGTTTGGTGGTTTACTCATAGGATTACACAGCTAAAATATATTATTAAAATGTTTAAAATGAGTATAACTACATTGTTGCTAATAAAAATACCGGATTTAACTTACTTACTAAGCTGAAAGTCCTCAAAAAATTAATGGACAATATGATAAAAATGTTAACTTCTTTAAAATAAATCCTTTATTTTTCTGGGTGATTCGCTCGCCCCGAGTCAGAGTTCACTGTACCCCATTCGTTTGCTCATCCTGATTGCTGACCAGAGTCCACAGTTGAGAGCAAGGAATAAAGAGTGCGGGTCGAAATCACATTGGCACAAGTGGATAAGGAAATAAATGTTTGGCTTTGGCTGCCCAAGGATGTGCGTATAAATCAAGGATTTGTTTGCGGATTGTTTCGACCGTTCTTCGTAGCCCAAAGGTAGTTGACTTGGAGCGTCTTAAATTTAGACGTAGCATTGACCTTTTGGCCTTCGCTTAGGGCAGCCACGTGGCGTATGCGTAATCTGTCCTAATTGAATTAAGCCGTGACATAATCCCCGATCCACCAGGCAAGCGGGCTTAAAGTCAATATGTGCTGAGGAATTTATGCAAATTTCGCTCTCTATTTCTTTTTTACTCCGGCTTATTGAAAAGTAGCTGGGGTGGATGTGTACATTTCCAGTGTCTTCATAACCCGCCAGTCGTGTGGAAAATTGCATTTTACCACCTTTTCTTTGGCAGCCAAGAAAGGACATTACACAGGACGCGGGGAACAAGGAGCAGGGACTGCAAATCCCAGTTAGTGGCCAATGACTTGAAAGGGTTTCAGGCATAATGCAAACTTACTGCCAAGAAATAGAGACTTAAAGCTGGCCATTATAAGTTTGCGTTGCCTGCAGTGCCCATAAATGGGTTAATGAATGTTTCAGGACCTCTTATCCCCTCTCTACTTTTTCCATGAGCAGGACAAGTTTTACTCGAGGGCGGAAAATGTATAGGCCAAGTTTTGTGGTTGAAGGGGCGAATATTTCAAGGATCCCCATGTGTGCGGCAGCTGGCCAAAAGGAAGGACATTCTCCGGTTTTCCTCGACCGCCCGCAGCGAGGAAAGTCGACAAGTTTGTCGGGTTCGATGGAGACCATTAAAAACTACTCAAAATGTCAGCGGGAATATAAACCACACGGGTTATGTGGAAAAGGACGAGCCACAAAATGTAACAAATTTGCTTAATTTGCCGTCCTGAAATACAGTTTTATGTTCAACTCAAGAAAAACAGCAGTGAAATATGCTGCACAGGAAGAAATATTTATTCAATATTATCATTGTTAAATAACGCTGTTCAACCATTATTGGAAAATAATATTATTCAATATGCAAAAGAAGTGGTAAATAAGTATTGAAAATAAAGTTTACAATTGAATTGCAAATTATCATTTACAATCAAGTAAAATCCGTTATTTTCTCTGTGTGTAAACAATTGCCGGTGAAAAACGGCGTAAAAAAACAAAAAGCAAAGAAAAGCGGAGAAGGAAACAACGGAAGTTGAGAAAAAACGAGGACGGAAGCTAACTTCGGCAAGCCGAAGTTTTAATACCCTTGCAGACTTTGCCGAAATTGCTAAAACTGAAAAAGTAGCGAAAGGAATAAGGTATACATAAATAAACTAGATTTGCATCGTTTAATGTCAATTGCTTTTATACTGCAAAAATGTCATATAAAAATAGAAAAAAAGGGATACTTTCGCAGCCTTTAACTATTTTTCCTACGGAAGCTATAAGAAATAGACGTCCGATCGGCAAGCGCTTTTACCCTAATCCAGATATGCGTAAATAAATAAGACTTTGAAAAATGTATGTCAATAGCTTATACACTGCGCGAAATATT